AAAAATCAGAAATTTGTGACTAATCTCAGGAGAAAAAAATCAAAACCAAAACCTGCAATTCAATACAAACTGTCTCTCAACGTATCCAGATATTTTATTTAGAAACACTCCAAAGCAGCTTTGATAATTATTTTCAAAGAAATATAGAAAATAATGTTTAAATTAAACTAGGATAACAATAAATCAACAAACATGGATTCTCAAGAAGAAGATAATTTAAAAAATAAACAGGTTAAACCAATAAAATCTAGAGTAGAAAAGTATCATGATTGAAGTGAAATATTCAGTACAAGGGGTTAAGAGAGTATTCAAGTTGGCAAAAGACACAATCTGCAAACTTGTAGGTACAACAATGTAAATTATCCAATCTGAATAACAGAGGAAAAAAAAGATGAAGAAAAACTGAACAGAGCTCAGAGACATATGAGAGAACATGAAGCATACCGACATACACGTAAGGGGACTCTCAGAAAAAGAGAAGAAGGAACAAGAATTATCAGGCAAAATATTTGAAGAAATAATGGCCCCAAATCCCCAAATTTGTTGAGATATATTGATCCACACATCTAATAAGCTAAGAAACCACTGATTAGGATACATGCAAAGAGATCCACATGTAGACACGTCATAGGAAATCTGCTGAAAACCAAGGTATTCACGAAAACACAATACTTCTAAATTTATAAGATGTCACTAAAGCACTGCCTATGGGGGAATTTATGGATTTTAATGCCTATATTGAATAAGATGCAAGATCTAAAAATCAGTTATGAGAAAGAAGATCAAGCTAAACCCAGCCCAAACAGAATAAAGGAAATAATAAAAATTAGAATGGAAATAATTGAAATGGAAAACAGAAAACAGATAGAAAAACCAATGAAAATAAAGGTTAGTTCATTGGAAATGTCAACAAATTTGACAAACTTCAAGCTAGAATTACCAAGAAGAAATGAGAGAAGACACAAATTACCAAATCAAGAAAAAAAGAATATTATCACCAATCCTACAGAAATTAAAAAGTGATTATAAGAGAATCATATAAATAATTTATGTCAACAAACTGGATAATTTAGAAGAAATTGATAACTTCCTAGAAAACGTGAATTAACAAAAAAACTCAAGAATAAGTAAAAATACTGAATAGACCTATGTACAAGAAGTAAAGAAACTGAAATATTAATTCAAATCTTTCCACAAAGAAAATCCCTGGCCCAGATGGTTTCATTGGAGAATCTATCAAACATTTAAGGAAGGTTTACAAGAACGATCCTTCTTTCCAAGAAGGATTCATTCAGAACACAGAGGAGCTGGGAACACATCCCAGTGTGTTCTCTGAGACCAGCATTACCCCGATATCAAAGCCAAAGGCGTAATAAGAAATCCAGAGGTCAGTAGGTACAAAAATCATGAGCACAGATAGAAAAATCCTGACCAAAGTAAAGCAAATTGAATCCAGAAATGTACATAATGGATTATAAATATGACCAAGGGGAATTTATCCTACATACAAAGAGTTGATTTCACATCCAAAGATCAATTAATGTCATACACCATATTGACTAATTATAGGAAAAAACCACATGATCACCTTAATAGACACATACAGAGCATTTGAAAAATCACACTTCATGTTGAAAGACTGAATGCTTTTCTCCAAAGACCAGGCTCAAGACAAGGCTGTCCGCTGTTGCCACTTTATTCAACATTTTATTGGAAGTTCTAGACACTGCAAGAAGAAAAAAACAAAATTAAAGATATCTAGCAGATTGAAAAGAAAAAGAAAAACAGTCTCAATCCACAGATGACATGATCCTATATGTAGAAAATTCCATGGATTCCACACACATAAAACCAAAACTCAGACCTATAAACAAGTTTAGCCAAGTCACACATACAGATACTGAACATAGAAAATATCAATTGTATTTCTATGTACCAGCAATGAACAATTTGACAATGAAAGTAAAAAAACAAAACAATTACATTCACAATAAGGCCAAAAAGAGTAAAATACTTAGAACTTAATTTAACAAAAGAAAAACAACACATATATGCTGAAACCGTAAAGCAATGCAGAAGGACATTAAAGAACATCTAAATAAATGTAGGGAGAGTCCATGTCCATGGATTAGAAGATTCAGTATTGTCATGATGGCAATTTTTCCCAAATTGATCTATAAATTCAATGCAGCAGGCATTTGGGGCAAAAGTTAACAAGCTCATCCTAAAATTTATATGAAAACACAAATGACCTAGACTAGCCAAAATAATTTGACAAAGAACAAAGTTGGAAGACTGTTATGGTCACCCTGCAAAAGCAGTGGTGGGAGGGAGCCCCCCAAATGAGATTTGGATGTTGAGACTGACGATGCCACACACCCCAGAGGGTCTGACAAGTTTTGTTACTTACAAAATTGAGGTCTCAGCGGACAGCAGGGCAGGCCTTTCAAGCAAGGCCGTATGGTACCTGATTGCAAAGTTACATAAAAATAAAATCGCAGTCATCAAGCCAGTGTGGTCCTAGGGCAAGGAGAACGCACAGGTCAACGGAGAGAACTGAGAGTCCAGACATAAACCCTTATATTGTCGGTCAACAGGTTTTTGAGAAACGTGCTGAGTTAATTCAATGGTGGAAGCATAGTCTTTTCTACAAATGGTGCTGAGACAACTGACATCCATGGGTAAAAGAAGGAATTTAGCTCCTTACCTCCTCCATACAGAAAAATTAACTCAAAATAGCCAGGAGGGGGTGCTAGAAGGTAGTCTAAGTAACTAAATGTAATCAAAATACTGTACTTTTTGAGCGGGAAGCAGGAAATTGAAAACAAATAGGAAGTATAAGAACATCACGTTTTGCATTCAAATGCAACGGCCCAATGAGGACAGAAGTTAATCCCTGAATAGCAAACAGTCAACTAAGTTACTTAGGGCACAGGCCCTGGAAACGGGCAGACTTAGTTCAAATTTTTGGTGTGCTCTTTATTAGCCAGGCAACCACGAGTTAAGTTACTTAACATCCCTAATCCTCTGTTTCATCTGCAAAATGGGGATCAGTAACACCTGCTTTATGATTTCAAGGAAGGAATAAATACACATAATGTTTGACATTCATTGAAGGATATTTGTAATCATTTCATGGATCAGTGATTTCTTTTATGACTTAAAAAAATTAACTTTTACGAAAGTTGAGCTGCTCAACTCAAAAGTGCTAGAAGAAATTTCTACTACCTTTTGAGGTCCACCACTATTAATTCAATAACTGCTCTTCAAGAATATCTTCTGCTCTTTGCTTGCTGGCATGTAAGGGTTATTTTTGAGTTTCTGAAAACTTTCTGAAATTTTCTTCATGATCCTTTACACTTTACAATTTAAAAAGAAAATCTATAAATATGTACTGAGTTCTATGTGTATTGAATGGATGGTGACATGGGTTTTGGAATTTGTTGGACTTGGGTTTGAATCCAGGCTCTATGACCCACTTCATAAGTGATCCCAGCAGGAGAAACTTTTTCTAAGATGCCTATGATCTCATCTGTCAAATATGGTGGATTATAACTACTTTGAAGTATTGTTATAAGGATTAGTTTGTTACAAGAGTTAAATTGTACCTAAGACTGTCTTAGATAGCGTCTAATTAAAAAACAACCAACTTGGCACAATCCCTGACACGTGGTGGATGATGAATCCAGAAGAAGCGTCATTGTTCCCACTTACAGAGACTTTCCCAGGACACATCCTCTAAGTGGCAGTGCTTGGACTCGAGCCGTCATGCTCTTTTTCAAAGTAATATAACCTCACAGAGTTACAAGGTCTCACGTCAAACTCTCCAAAGGGTCCTTTTTGGCAGCTCCTTCCTGAGAAGGACCATCTCCCCTCAGCTCACTGTATCAGATTATGTCATTGGCTTTCCAGGGAGCTGGGATCCCAGGCTGAGCCCATGACTGGTCCATTCACAGGGAAAGGAACTCTGGAAGGCTGGCACCACGTGGAGCGGATCAGAACCTGCAGTTCCCTGAAGACCGCACGCGCCTGGCAGTCACAGAGCCCGTGGGAAGAGCAGGCAGGATGCGAAGCTTTCATTGAGGTTTCTGGGCTACACTCAGCTTCCCTGGAAACAGTGCCTGCCCATCCCTGCCCCAGCACTGGCAAGAGATGCTGCTGCTGTCTGGGAAGCTGCAGGGTGGCACAGCGCAGCACAGGGCCCAGGGACAGGAACTGGGCCCCTTTGTCCACCTAGTGTGGCTTCCTCTCTCCTCCACTGTCAACTCCTATTTTAGTCTCATGTGATGAGTAATGATTTGATTAGAGTCATTGCTTCCCATCCATGTCCGAGGCCAGACTGAGTGTATGAAAATGTTCACAGACAGGTCCTTTTAAACTTGTATGGAAAGAACATACGCTGTATGGCGTGAGGAGCAGTGCAAAGGTCTGCCCCAGATACAAACCTGCGAACCTCAGGCCACCAAAGAGGAGGACCTGAACTTAACCACTATGCCCCCCGGCTGGCTGCCTCCAATTTCTTTTACTAAAGCAGGTTCAGTGCTTGTCAGCTTTGCTGTGGGTGCCTCACAGTTTACTGACAGATGTGAAAGGAAGGTGGTTCAGGGCGAGAATACAGAGGCTGCATCCCAGGACAAGCGCATGGAAGCAGCATGAACACTGAACCCTGAGTTGCAGTGAAGTCCCCCGACTCAGGACCACTACCTGCACCAGGGGACATGGAGCTGCCTCCATGGCTCTCCTGCCCCCTCCATTGGCTCAGGCTGTCCCTCCCTCTGCTCTGGGTTCTCAGGGCTCCTGGCTCCTCCTCTTCTGCAGAGGGCCTGCTCTCAGCCTGCCCCAGGAGGCCCTCAGGAAATGGGCTCAGCAGAGAGGCAGAGTTCCTCCCAAGGCCTCCGCCAGCCCCACCCCCTCTGGGTCCTCAGCTGAGTGGTCTTCTTGGAGAGCCCCTCAGTCACTGTGTGCCTGTGACAGCTGTCCTGAGCTCGGCTCTGACTCCCTTCTTGTGTCCTGGGCTCCCTGTCTTTGGAGCAGGTCTGGAGTGTGAGAGGGTGTCTGCCCCTCCTGTCATCTGTCCCTTTCCTTCTAAGGCCCGAGGAGGAAGGCATGCTGTGGGCTCTCACCCTCTTTCTAGCTTTCCTGGCTCCTGGTAAGTGTGCTGCCTCTATGCTCCTGGGATTTGTCTCTTTTTTGGCAACGGGAGGCCGTACTGAGGGATTCTATTAGCTCTTCCTCGTTACTTTTTGTTGTTCCCATTGCAGCCACTCAGGTATCTTCCAACATGGAAGGGATACAGATAGTATTCACCAGGCAAGCTGGGTCATCTGTTTTGATCACTTGTGATCTTAAACAAAGCAGCGACTACATCCACTGGTACCGATTCCAGGAGGGGATGGCCCCACGACGACTTCTCTACTACCACCTCTCCAGCTCAAAGGTTGTGGTGGAATCAGGAATCAGTTCACAGAAATACCAAGCTTATCAAGGCACAGGGAGGACCTGTAATCTTTATATCCAAAGTCTGGAAGAAAGTGATTCTGCTCTGTATTACTGTGCTTCCTGGGAGAGGCACAGTGATACAGACCTCCTCAGTCCTGCACTGAAAATTTTGCTTGTGGTTGACAAGAGCAGCCTTGACACACAGGATAGACCAGCCCCTGCCTCCCATCCTGCCCTGAGTTCACTGTGCTGTGAACAAAGCGAGACTCTGAGCTCAGCGCCCAGTCTTCACCCTCATATCCCACTGGCCTCCCTGCTCCCCCATAAACCATAGCAGTTTTCTAAAGAAGGATCTCCCATCTCCAGGCCTTAGGCAAGCAGTCTGGCAGACAGCATGTTCTTTCAGCTCTCCTAGGAGCTGGTGGAGTCCATTCAGTCTGCTTCCTGGGACAGAAAATGTCACCTAGGCTTGATCTGTTTGGGGAGACATTTAGCAGAGCAATGTGGGAAGGCTAGTGGTGCCTAATCATTTATCCAATCATTTCCCAGAGAAATGGCTGGGAAAGGAGCTCCTGTCTTACTCAGGAGAATGAGAAGTGATGGAATGAAAACTTTGGACTTCATGATGACTTCAAGCTGGGATCTTATTTATCTTTTGGACAAACTGATATTTCCCTCACCATAACCAACCATGGCACTATTGAGACAGTAAAAGTGTAGGAACAAGGTGATTGCTGTAGAGATGCCAACCATGGTATTCTACTCACAGCTTCTTTCGAATTTCAGCCTCACCCAGAACTGCTTTGTCTTAGACAAGTAAAGCCAAAGCTCCCTTCACCCCTCCCCCAACCTTGACCTGGCCACGTCCTAAACTGGAATGAGTCTATCAGATTGTTTTTTCTCAATAATAAAATTAAGGGACTCTTTGGGTGAACAACCAGACAATGAATAGTCTATATTTGAATTGAAAAGTCATATAGGAAAAGGGTTGTGGCTGCCATATTGGTCCAGGTTTAAGGATATAAAATTAATACTGAAGTACAGAAATGCTGGATTCACACTTGTGTGGTCTCTTGCATATTGGATCCTCCAACTTTCTGCCAGATCTCTTAACCTTGACTCTAGCTTAGAGTTGAAGTTCCTAGAACAGTGTTTCTCAAACTGTGGTCCATGGCCCACCTACATCAGAAGCACTTGGGATGTTTGAATAAAAGTACAGGTTCTGGGTATCATCCTGTGAGATAAGTCAGAATTTTAGGATGAAAGCAGAAATGTGTGTTTCTTAATGACCTCTGCTCTGATTCTTATTCCAATTGGTTTTTAAGAACTGCTGTATTGGCAGGAACAGATAGGGTGACCTTTCTCCCTCTGAAATGGGCTGGTCCCAGCCTGACACCAGAATGCATTCTAGAAAGGTGCTCATGGGCTTCCTGCCAACACACAAAGCCCTCCCCTCTTATGGCACCCTGGATGCTGCTGCTCTAACAGGTCATCACATTTCTCCATGACATTTGCACCAGAACCACAAATGGAAACTCCACTTCCTTCTCACTGCTGTGATCTCAGGCAAGAAGAATTGTCCAGTGCATGAACCAGCTTTAACTTGCTCTACTGTCTGACGAGCCATGCACTTCTACTATTTTGCAGATCTATGAAAGTTTATTCCTTACCTTGCAATATTTAAAAAGCTTGCTCCTTACCTTTAAGCATAAACATATTCTTATTTATATTTTTCTAATAGTGTTAAGGTTTTGTTCTGCACATTTATGTTTCAGATATGCTTTGAATTGAAATTTTGTGTATGGGAATAAGGTAGGAATCTGAGTATGGAGATCCAATTTCTCCTCCAAATTATTGACCAATCCATTATTTCTCACACTGCTCTTCATCGCCACCCTTGTGAAAACTAATGTTCCAGAGGCTCACACAGCCCTTTCTGCTCTCTCTCTTCCTTCTTTTTTTTTCATATTCTGTTCAATGAATATATTCTTCCACCAACAGTACCCTCTTTTCATTACTGTAGCTGTATATATTTTACAGTCTTGTGGAGTAGTTTTCTTTTGTTACTTTTTAAGGAATTTTCTTTCCACTCTAGTGTGATGGCATTTTCTCCTCTCTTAGCTGTAAACCACCCTGTCCAGCAGGGATGTGCTGGGACTCCGCGGCACTGAGCTGCTTCCTGCATAGGGACCTGGAATGTTCTCTTGTAGAGCTGCTGCTGCAACACCTCATGTCTCTGCACGTGTGGTCCCCAAGGCAGAAGGATGAGCAGCCCCACTCCCCTCCCTTCCTCCTTTCCCAGCTGTCTGTTAGGATGGCAGAAAGGAACCACCTGAGAGAGAGGCCAGAACAATGATGGAGAGGGCATTTTTCTCCATTCTACTGTGAATACTGTAAACATGTGTCCAAAGACATTTATAAAAGCGAGGGGTGAAAATCTGCACACACCACTCAGTTCTCCCATGAATTCACTATTCTTGTTTGATCACCTATCTACCCATCTGTGAATCCAAGTAAATCACAGATATGGGTACACTTCCCGAGAGGAGGGCTGCGTAATAAAACACAGGATGCCCAAGGATACCTGGATTGCAGATAAGCAATAAAAACTTTTTCGGTTCGTGTGTGCCCCAAGTATTGGATAGCACTCTGCATATTTTTTTGTTACTAAACCTGCTAACTCTATGTGAGATGGCCTTTTTCCTAGAGGATGAAGAGAAATCATCTAAGAAACTGGCTTGCCACACACACACACATAAACACACATAGACATATACACACACATCCATTTGACTTTGAGGAGATTCAAATGTTCATTAACATAACTGATCCTAATTCTTTTACTAAAGCAGGTTCAGTGCTTGTCAGCTTTGCTGTGGGTGCCTCACAGTTTACTGACAGATGTGAGAGGAAGGCGGTTCAGGGTGAGAATACAGAAGCTGCATCACAGGACAAGCCCATGGCAGCAGCATGACCACTGAACCCTGAGTTGCAGGGAAGTCCCCCGACTCAGGACCGCTCCCTGCACCAGGGAACACGGAGCTGCCTCCATGGCTCTCCTGCCCCCTCCATGGGCTCAGGCTGTCCCTCCCTCTGCTCTGGGCTCTCAGGGCTCCTGGCTCTTCCTCTTCTGCAGAGAGCCTGCTCTCAGCCTGCCCCAGGAGGCTCTCAGGAAATGGGCTGAGCAGAGAGGCAGGGCTCCTCCCCAGGCCTCTGAGAGCCCCACCCGCTCTGGGTCATCAGCTGGGTGGTCTTCTAGGAGAGCCCTCACTCACTGCTGCCTGTGACAGCTGTCCAGAGCCCTGCTCTGACTCCCTCCTTGTGTCCTGGGCTCCCTGTCTTTGGAGCAGGTCTGGAGTGTGAGAGGGTGTCTGCCCCTCCTGTCATCTGTCCCTTTCCTTCTAAGGCCGGAGGAGGAAGGCATGCTGCGAGCTGTCGCCCTCCTTCTAGCTTTCCTGGCTCCTGGTAAGTGTGCTGCCTCCATGCTCCTGGGATTTTTCTTTTTTTGGCAATGGGAGGCGGTACTAAGGAATTCTATTAGATCTTTCTCATACTTTTTGTTGTTCCCAATGCAGCCACTCAGGTATCTTCCAACATGGAAGGCACACAGATGTCACTCACCAGACAGGCTGGGTCATCTGCTGAAATCACTTGTGGTATTCAACAAACCAGCGACTACATCCACTGGTACCAACACCAGGAGGGGACAGCCCCACAACGCCTTCTCTACTACCAACTCTCCAGCTCAAAGGTTGTGGCAGCATCTGGAATCACTTCACGGAAATACCATGTTTCTCGAGGCACAGGGATGACTTGTAAACTTTCAATCAAAAATCTAGAAGAAAGTGATTCTGCTGTGTATTACTGTGCTGCCTGGGAGTGGCACAGTGATTCATACCTCCCCTGTCCTGCACTAAAAATTTTGCTTGTGGCTGCTGAGAGCAGCCTTGCCACACAGGCTAGACCAGCCCCTGCCTCCCTTCCTGCCCTGACTTCACTGTGCTTTGATCATGAGAGATCCTGAGCTCAGTGCCCAGCTCCCGTCAGCAATGAGGCATAACACTTTCCTAAAGACCCAGCTCCCATCTCCAGGCCTTAGGCTATCAGTCTACACACAGCATGTTCTTTCAGTTCTCCCAGGAGCTGGTGGAGTCCATTCTATCTGCTTCCTGGGACAGACAAATTACCACGAGTTGATGTGTTCCGGGAGACATTTGGGAGAGCAACATGGGAAGGCTAGTGGTACCTAATCATTTATCCAATCATTACACAGAGAAAATGGCTGGGAAAGGAGCTCCTGTCTTACTCAGGAGAATGGGAAATGATGGAATGAAGACTTTGGACTTCATGAAGACCTCAAGCTAGTATCTGATTTATCTTTCAGCAAACTGATATTTCCCTCACCATAACCAAGCATTGCACTGTTGACACAGTGAAAGTCTAGGAATAAAGTGATGGTTGTAGAGATGCCGACCATTGTATTCTACTGACACCTTCTTTTGAAGTTCAGCCACAGCCAGAACTGTTCTGTCTTAAACTAGTAAAGCCAAAGCTCCTTTCCACCCTTCCCCCAACATTGACATGGTCAAATCTTAAACTTGAATGAGTCTATCAGATTATTTTTTCTCAATAAGTAAGATTAAGGGATACTTGGGGTGAACAATCAGATAATGCATAGTATGCATTGAACCGAAAAGTCACTTAGGAATGTGTTGTGGCTGACATATTGGTCCAGGTTTAAGGATATAAACTTAGTACATCAGTACAGAAATGCTGGGTTCACATGTGTATGGTCTCTTGCATGTTGGGTCTTCCAACTTTTTGCATGAACTCTTAGCCTCAACTCCAGGTTAGAGTTTAAGCTGCTAAAACAGTGTTTCTCAAACTATGGTCCCTGGACCACCTGCATCAGACACACCTGGGAGGTTTGAACAAAAGTAGATGTTTTGCATGACATCTGACAAAATATATCAGAATCTTAGGTTGGAAGCTGAAAACGTGTAGTTTTCCATGACCTCCACACTGATTGCTATTCAGTCGATTTTTAAAAACTGCTGTCCTGGCAGTAACAGATAGCGTCAATTGTCTCCCTCTGAAATGGGCTGCTTCCCAGCCTGACACAAGAATTCATTCTAGAAAGGCGATCGTGGGCTTTCTCCTAACACACAAAGCCCTCCTCTCTTATTGCACCCTGGATGCTGCTGCCCTAACAGGTCATCACGTTTCTCCGTGACAATTCCACCAGAACCACAAGTGGAAACTTGTTCCTTCCTTCTTCTGTGACCTTGGGCGAGAAGAATTGTACACTAAATGAACCAGCTTTAACTTGCTCAAATGGACCAGGGACGATGTATTTCAACTATTTTTCACCTTTCAGAAAGTTTGTTTCTTATCCTGAAGCATAAACATATTCTCATTTGTATTTTTCTAATAGCGTCAAGACTTTGTTGTGCACATTTGTTTCTTAGATCTGCTTTGAATTGAATTTTTGTCTATGGGAGTGAGGTAAAAATCTGAATGTGGGGATCCAATTTCTCCATCAAATTATTGACTAATCCATCATTTCTCACACTGTTCGTCATTGCCACCCCTGTGATAACTAAGGTTCCAGAGGCTCACCCAGCCCTTCCTGGGCTGTCTCTTCTTTTCCACTGTGTGTGTTCACTTACACGAGCCAGTTTCTCTAAGGAAACAGCTAGAGCTGGAGTCATTGTGTATGCACAACTTCACCTTTACAAATGGGGCTGAATCCCTATTTTGTCTATTCCTGTGCCAGAAACACAGTTTTCTACTTAGCATAGCTATATAATAATTCCTGCTTTTTGGTAAGCGAGTTTCCTTGCTTTTTCTTTTTTAAGAAAATTTTGTTAGCTTTATTTTATTCATGAATAAACATTCAATATATGTACATTTATTTATTTACTAAATAATAAGTCACAAGAAGTATGGTAGAGATGCATAATGTATATTAGAAAACATACACCAAAATAAACCATTTAAAAATATGTGATAAAAACACATACAAATATTAGTTCCAACATTCTTCCCATACAACCATGTATGTATTACATACTCCACTCTGGAAACCACAGCACCATCAACACCAATGCCTAGAACACATTTCATTCTAAATTCTTCCTATTTCCTAACTTAGCATACATCCCTAAGACAAATCATACTCAATGTCTTCTTTTTTCTTCAAACCAAATTCTTACAATCCCTTTATAGTACAGCTTTGTTTCATTCTCTGAATTATTTATGGGGTTATGAATGGACACTGGATGGTGTCTTTTCATACTCTTTAAAAGAAAGTACCCCTAAACCTGATAAATCTTGGGCTTGGTTAAGTCTTTAAAGAGACCTTTGCGAGGAACGTCCAGGGAGCCCGACTGTCATCCTCTGTTGACTGAGAATACGAGTGTGGCCTCAGAGAGTTTCATTATCTTCACTGGTTGTAAACATGAGGTTAGTGTTATGAAAGGGCCTGGCCCTGTGCCTGACATGTCCTGGGTTCTCTGGATGACGTTGCTAAATTTGAAATGATGGGTTCACTCCATGAAAGGTGCGCACACTAGAAAGGAGGGAGGGATGTCCTGATCCTGCCTCAGTGCTCACGGTCCTGTAATATCGAAGGGGTCACCTTGGGAGCTGTTTCCCATCTTTAAAAAGGAGAAACAAGGAGGCTTGTGGGAGGATGGGTTCGCCTTTCATCTTTAAGTGTCTAAGCTTCTGTGATTCCTTAGTAAACCTAAGACTTGATTTTAAAAATGGGGTGACTAATTCTAATAAAAGACAAATGACTTCCTAAGAAAAAATATTTATTCAACACTCAGTGTTATAAAGTTATAAACTGGAGATAAAAGAAAGAAAATAGTATCCACTGTCCTCTCATCAAAATATTGATCCTTCGCAATGCCCTGTCTTGCCATTTTTGAGGACATGGTGCTAAAACATGAGGACTTGCTCCTGCTGCCTGGCCCGCCCTGCCCCCTGGTTCAGCATAGGCTTCTTCCTTTGGCTACAACACACACACCCCTGATTCCAGAAACGGTAAAACTCCCCATAATTACTACTTTATGTAGACCCTGGAGAGCATCTACTGCAATCTGCCCAGTTTTGAGGTGAAACAATAATCCCACCACGTCCTGGGCATTTCTGTGCATCTGGGACAGGGCTACATGCTTTGCTCACATCATCCTGTTTACTCTCCAGGCAACCCCGTGAGCTCCCGTTTTATAGATGAGGAAAAGGTGGTGACATAACTTGCCCAAGACTACAGAGCTATCATGTTATTTGTGTTTCTGTGTTCTTTGGATAAATAGTCAAAAGTGGAATAGATGAATCATGGGATATTTTTATTTTTAATTTTTTAGAAAACTCCATACTGTATTCAGAACTGACTGCCCCAGTTTACATTCCCTCCCGCAGTGTATGAGGGTTTCCTCTGTCTACAGCCTCATCAAAACTTATCTGTAGTCTTTTTAATAACAGCCATTCTGGTGAGTGTGAGATGATACCACATTGCAGGTTTGATTTGCATTTCCCTAATAATTAGTAGTGTTAAACATGTTTTAATGTGCCTATTGGCCATCTGTAAATTTTGTTTGGGAAAATGTCTGTTCATGTCCTCAGCCCAGTTTTTTTTTTTTTTTGAGGAAGATTAGCCCTGAGCTAACATCCACTGCCAATCTTCTCTTTTTGCTGAGGAAGACTGACCCTGAGCTAACAACCGTGCCCGTCTTCCTCTACTTTGTACGTAGATGCATGGCTTGATGAGTGGTGCAGTTGCATGTGATTGTCCACTTTCCTCAATTCCACATATTGAAGAGACTTTCCTTTCTCCATTGTATGTTCCTGGCTTGTTTATTGAAGATTAGCTGTCCATTGGTATGCTATTTTATTTCTGGGCTTTCAATTCTATTCCGTTGATCTGTGTATCTGTTTTTCTGCCATACCATATTGTTAGGATTACTACAACTTTGTATTATATTTTGAATTCAGGAATGTGACACATCCAGTTTTGTTCTTTTTTCTCAGGATAGCTTTCCCTACTCGGGGTATTTCCTTACTCCATATAAGTTTAGGATTCTTTGTTTTATTTCCATGAAAAAAGTCATTGGGATTCTGATTGGGATTGCACTGAATCCACAGACTACTTTAGGTAATATGCACATTTGAAGTATGTTAATTCTTCCAATGCATGAGCACAGAATATCTTGCCATTTCTTTGTGCCTTCTTCAGTTTCTTTCAACATTGTCTTACAGTATTCAGTGTCCAGGTCTTTCACCCCCTTGGTTAAATTTATTCCTAGGTCTTTTAATCTTTTTCTTGCAGTTATAAGTGGAATTGTATTCTTGATTTCTGTCTGCTAGTTCTTTGTTAGTGTATAGAAACACAACTGATTTTTATATGTTGAGTTTGTACCCTAAAACTTTGCTCTTTTCATTTATTATTTCTAATAGTTTTCTGGTGGATTCTTTAGGGTTTTCTCTCTATAAAATGACGTCATTCAGAAATAGTGACAATTTTACTTCTTCCTTTCCAATTTGGACACCATTTATTTACTTTTCTTGCCTAATTGTTCTTGCTAGGATTTCTAATACCATGTTGAATAAGAGTGACAAATGCGTGCATCTCGTCCTCCTCCTGTGCTTGGGGAATAGTTTTCAGTTTTTCACGAATGACTATGATGTTAGCTGTGGGTTTTACTTATATGGCCTTTATTATATTGAGGTATTTTCTTTCTATACCCATTTAACTGAGAGTTTTTATCACAAATGTATGCTGAATCTTGTCAAATGATTTCTCTGTATCTATTGAGATGATCATGTGATTTCATTTTTCATTTAGTTAATGTGGTGTAACACACTGATGGATTTATGGATGTTGAACCATACTTGCAATGCTGGAAGAAATCCCACTTGATTATGATGCATGATCCTTTTAGTGTATTGTTGTATCCAACTTGCTAAAATTCTGTTGAGAATTTTTGCGTCTATGTTTATCAGCGATATTGCCCTGTAATTTTCTTTTTTTGTGTTTTCTTTGTTTGTTGCTGGTATCAGGGTCATGTTGAACTTGTAAAATAAATTTGGAAATGTCCACTTGTCTTCAATACTTCGGAAAAGTTTGAGCAACATGAGTGTTAAATCTTCTTTGAATGTTTCGTAGAATTCACCAGAGAAGTCATCTGGTCCTGGAGTTTTATATTTTCTGAGGTTTTTGATAATGGTGTCAACTTCCTTGCAAATGATTGGGCTATTCAGATTATTTGTTTCATCTTGATTCAATTTGGGAATGTTGTTTGATTCTAGGAATTTATCCACTTCTTCTAGTTTATCTAATGTGTCTGCATATGTTTTTTCACGGTATTCTCTTGTAATCCTTTGTAGTTCTGTGATATCTGACGTAATTTCTCCTCTTTCATTTTTGATTTTGTTTATTTAAGCCTTCTCTTTTTTTTTTTCTTAGAGCAAGGTAAAATTTTATCAATTTTGTTTATCTTTTCAAAGAACCAGCTTAGTTTCATTGATCCTTTCCATTTTCATTTTAGTCTCTATTTCATTAACTTCCAGTGGGATTTTTATCATATCCTTCCTTCTACTGATTTTGGGCTCCATTTATTTGTCTTTTTCTGGTTCCTTTATGTGTAACGTTAAACTGTTTATTTGAGATTTTTCTTGTTTTTAGAAATAAGCCTGTATTACTATAAACATTTAGCATATTTACTCCATCCCATATATTTTGGTATGTTGAGTTTCATGTTCATTTTCATTTAGATTTTTTTTTTCTGTTTTGATTTCTTCCTTGATCCAATAATTATTCAGTATCATATTTGTGACTGTTCCAGCTTTCTTCTCTAGTTGATTTCTACTTTCGTATCATATGACCAGAAAAGATGCTTGATGTCATCTCAAATTTAGCTTCAAATAGAGAATCTAATATTTCATAGCAGATAAAATTATATAAATTTCTTCTTTTATTCCAGGAAAAGTAATCTCATCACAGAAATCTATTTCTTATTTGGCATTGCTGGGTAAGGAATCATATTGACACATGGTAAAAGTGGCTTTACTAAAAATGAAGAAATTTGTTCACATTTCTCAAGTATATTTGTATTGGTATATTTTCATTTCAGTTACTGAAGAGTTTCTTGCTTTTAGAAATATATCCCAAAACGGCTAACAAGGCAACCCTAGTGTTTGTTAGAACAAAAGCGCCTTTCCTTTGATGTAATGTCTGAGCAGTTTCAACACAATTGAACACCTGGAAATTTCAAAAGAACATCTTAATTCTCTGAATGCGTTTCCTAGTGATTTAGAAAAACAGTTGGTTGACCAGTTGGGCCTGATCTCTTGTTTTTCTGCTGTTATTCTTTCCATTTTCTATCAATGATTTTCAATGATTAATCCCTTGGTGGAAAACAGAAGTTTGGGTTGACTTATCTGGGGAAAACTTATGAAATATCTGACACCGCAAAACTTGTATTCAAGGGCTTCCAAAGGAACCCAGAAGACGAAATTGCCAGGACACAGTTTTTTAATTGTCAGTTACATCATGAAACTTAGGAAGAGGTTGAGTTTTTGTAGAAGCTGTAACCAGTGTGATAGCTCAGGTTGGATCAAGAACTTTGGAGAAGGGACTAAGCTCATCATGATTCCCTCTGGTAAGTAGCATTTTTCTATTTTTCCCATAGTAATGAACAACTGATAGATACTTTTTAGAAAAAACAAGTTAGAATCACCCTTATCCGACTGCCACATACTTGACCTCAGCATATGAACAACAAGTTTGTGGCTACTGGTCACTGTATAGGAAAACAAAACTACTCTGTAAATGGTTTGTTCATGTCCCTGCTTGTAAGCTCATTGCGATTCTACTTTTAGAATGCACACTCAAAAAGTGATAGACTCAGGCTAGCAATTTAGATGTTTTTTGGACCATATCTCTAAACCATTGTTATAAGTTATTGGTGCAAGACAATGTTCTTGTAGACCAATTTTTCAGTGAGAGACACTTTTATTAATTAACTCTTCTCTATAGTTTGGGATAAAACATGGTGCTCCTTTCTCACAATAACTTGCAAAACCTGTTATTAGTTTTCATCTCATCCCTAACAGCAGTGCAAAACGTTAATTCTTAATGTAAATGACTAGAGAACATCAACAAATCTCACTTGATATTACTGTAGCTTCTTAGAGGGTGGCTGAGATCAGTCAAAATTTATGCTCTCACAACTCGTGTCGAATTAGCTAGGGATGGCCCATTTTAAGGGAATTTGTAAGCTCAATAAGCCATTTCATCTCCAAAGTCCATGAAAAGGTCTACATGCTTTTACATCTCATTTGCTCATTCATTCTGTCAGCAAACACTAATTGAAAACAGTTTTGGTGCTGGTTACTGGAGATAAGTGGGGGAAGAAGATAAAGCTAGAAAAAGTCCCAATATTCCAAAAACCATTAGTCTAGTGGGTAAATATTCTCACTCCAACCATGTCCTGGACTCTATTCTCGGCCTGAGGTACCAAGGAGGACATTAACAAGGACTTAAGTATTTAGAACAATTGTGAGTCCCTAGAGGTGGAGATGTGAGGTCCATGTGGTATTTCTGCATTGAAACATTTGTACTGAAGTTTACGTATTTTATTTATTTGATATTTTATTCCCAAGCAATATTACCAAATCCGTGTTCAATTTATTTATTTTCTTTCACCAGTGTTAGCTCCAAAACTAGCATTAATTGAGCTCATTTGAGGTGGAGATCTTCTCCAAGTAGTATTTCTTGTTCACAGCAGAGTATTAGAAGAGCATTTTTTAATATGAGAGGTTGCACAAGGACTTAAACATGAGGCGACTTCTGTTTTCCAATGGATTGTTTGGGCAAAGAGAGCTTCACCTTGTGTTCTAACACTTTCAGTCTATTTGAATTCTGCCTGTTTTGGGTCTATACCACTGAGCTAGGATCTGTAAACATATTCTCCCAACTCCCATGTCATATGTGAGTTAGACCTTACTAAACTATCAACCAACCACGGGGGCAGAAAAAGAAATAAGTTATAATGTACAAACTATTCGTCATTTATTTCAAGTGTCTATTTCCAAAATCTATTTGAGAAGAGCTGAAATCAAATCCACAAGCACAGACATACCTCATTTTATTGCACTCTGCTTTATTGCACTTAACAGATATTGCATTTTATAAAAATCGAAGGTGTGTTGCAACTCTGAGGTAAGCTAGTGTATCAGCACCATTTTTCCAACAGCATTTGCCCACTTCGTTTCTCTTGTCACATTTTGGAAATTCTCACAGTATTTTAAGGCTTTTCATTATTATTACATTTGTTATGGTGATCTGTGATCATTGATCTCTGATGTTACGATTGTAATTGTTTTGGGGCACCATAAACCAGGCTCATATAAGATAGTGAAGTTAATTGATAAATGTGTGTGTTCTGACTGCTCCACTGACTTCCCCCATCTCTCTCCCTCTCCTTGGGCCTCCCTGTTCCCTGAGATCCAACAACATTGAAATTAGGCCAATTAATCACCCTACAATGGCCTCTGAGTGTTCAAGTGAAAGAGAGAGCTGCATGTCACTCATTTTATATTAAAAGCTAGAAATGAACAAGCCTAATGAGGAAGGCATACCCAAAACTGAGATAAGCCAAAAGATAGGCCTCTTGTGCCAGTTACCCAAGTTGTGACTGCAAGGGAAAAGTTCTTAAAGGAAATGAAAAGTGCTAGTCTCCTGAACACAGACTTGAGAAGAATGCAAAACAGCCTTATTGCTGATATGGATTAAATTTTAGCTGTCTAGATAGATCAAAACAGCCATAACATCCCCTTAACTCAAAGGCTAATCCAGATCAAGCCCCTGACTCTCTTTAGTTCTATGAAAGATGAGAGAAGTGAGGAAGCTACAGTGGAAACATTTGACTCTAAGAGAGGTTGATTCATTCTGTTTGAGGAAAGAAGCCATCTCCATAACATAAAAGTGCAAAATGAAGCAGAAAGTGCTGACGTAGAAAGTGTAGCAAGTTATCCAGAAGATCTAGCTAAGGTAATTCCCGAAGGTGGCTACACTAAATGGCACACTTTCAATGTAGATGCAACAGCTTTATGTTGGAAGAAGATGCCATCTCGTACATTCATAACTAGAGAGGAGAATTCAATGCCGGGCTTCAAGTTTCAAAGGACAGGCTGACTCTCTTGTTAGGAGTTAATGCAGCTGATGACTTTATGTTGAAGCCAACATTCACTTACCACTCTGAAAATCCTAGGACCCTTAAGAATTATGCACTAATTCTACTCTCCCTTTGCTTCTTAAATGAAGTAGCAAAACTTGGGTGACAGCACATCTGTTCACAACATGGTTTAATGAATAGTTTAAGCCCACACTTGAGACCTACTATTCAGAAAAGAACATCCCTTTGAAAGTATTAGTGCTCAATGACGATATACCTGGTCACGCAAGAGCTCTGATGGAGATGCACAACGAGATTCATGTTGTTTTCATTCCTGCTAACATAACATACATTCGGCAGTCCATGGATCAAGGAGGAATTTTGAATTCCAAGTCATTATTTAAGACTTATTTAAGACATTATTTATTTTATTTTATTTATTATTTATTATTATTATTTAAGACATTATCTTTCACAAGGCTATAGCTGCCATAGATAATGATTCCTCTGATGGATCTGGGCAAAGTAAATTGAAAACCTTCTAGAAAGGATTCACCATTCTAGATGTTATTAAGACCATTCATGATTCATTGAAAGTGGTCAAATATCAACTTTAAGAGAAGTTTGGAAGAGGTTGTTCCCAACCATCATGGATGACTTTGAGGGGTTCAAGACTTCAGTGGAGGAAGTGCCTGCAGGCGTGGTGGAAATAGAGAACAAGAATTAGAAGTGGAGCCTGAATTGTGACTGAATTGCTGAAATCTCTGACAAAGTTTAATGATTGAGGAGTTGCTTCTTATGGATGATCAAAGAAACTGGTTTCTTGAGATAGAATCTCTTCCTGGGGAAGACACCGGAGACTGTGAAATGACAACGAGCATTTAAAACATTACATAAACTTAGTTGATAAAGCAGCAGCAGGGTTGAGAGAATTGACTCTAATTTTGAAAGAAGATCTACTGTGGGTAAAATTCTATTAAACAGCATCACGTGCTACAGAGAAATTGTTTGTAAAAAGAAGAGTCAACCAGAATATGACAAAGTGTTATTTGGGCCAAAGAGCATAAATAACAAAATTCATGGGATGGGAAAAGGGAAGTACTTTAGAAAGGACCAGACATTCTCACGTGTAGAGAGATCATCAAAGTTACTTGATCCCTTCCCCCATCCCTACCACCTACCCACCCACCTTGAAAACATGTTCCACAGTGATGGAACAAATGACAATTAGAAAAATACATGTGTTAATCAATGTTAGAAGCTTTGGCATGGGACAGCTAAAAGTCATACCCTATCTTAGCATGTGGAGAAAGAACAAAGGCTAAGTTGAGATCCAGGCTCTGCCACAAACCAGCCATGACTCCAGGCAAGTAACATGACCTCTGGAAACTCTTTCCCCACTGAAAATAACAATAAATACCTCCCAGGCTATGGTGGATGAAAGGCCATGGTGAGCACTAATTTAAGGGCAGCTTTACTTCCTTTTACTATGCTGTGGGTTGTTCCAAACCACACAATGTTTGCACTTCTCTCATGATTCTTTTTAATTGCTATTCCATTTTTCCCCACAGGTGTACGTCTTCCTTCAGACATTTCCCCGAAACCAATTATTTTTCTTCCTTCAGTTGCTGAAATAAACCTCCATAAGGCTGGGACATATCTTTGTCTTCTTGATAAATTCTTCCCTGATGTTATCAAGGTATATTGGAAAGAAAAGAATGGCAATACAATTCTGGAATCCCAGGAGGGACATACCATGAAGACTGATAACACATACATGAAACTCAGCTGGCTGACCGTGACTGAAAAGTCAATGGATAAAGAACACAAATGTATCGTCAAACATGAGAACAATAAAGGAGGGGTTGACCAGGAGATTCTTTTTCCTTCAGTGATTCAAGGTATGTGTATGTAAGTATAACATCCCAGAACAATTTTTTGCAAAGGAAAGTTTCCCAGCTTCTCTCTCAAGTATTAATGAAAAATGAAGAAATATAAATGTTTCCTAAATCTCGTTCCATTTATTGGTAGCATAAATGTCCCTCTATTTCCCCATAGAGTTAAAATAGTTAAGGCTTCGGAACATAAAAAAGAAAACTTTCCTTAGCTTTTGTAAGCCTCAGTTTAATAAACCAAAATATTAAGGTCTCAGTGGTATTTTTTTAGGGTAGATGGAAGGATTAAATGAAACAAGTTATGTGAAAGCACCTAAGAACTCAGAAGCCAAGAAATTCTCAAACGAGATTCCCCTTTTGATGATCTTATTTGATCAGGAAATAAGTACAATTGTATGTCTTTCAGGAATGTTCTCCTCAGTTTTCATCTTGCCATACTCAGAGTACAAACTCAAAATATAGCTATTATGTGAAAAAATGGTGTTCATTTGATGGAGCCAATTCATGGCTCAACAGAAAATCAAGTAATTTGACGGTTGCACGTTTATTATGGTCTTAGGGTTTCCAGATTTGTATTTTATATACCATTGTGAAGTATCGTTTAATAATTAGAGATTGGGTGAGGCTAATATGTACATACATTCTTCCATTCTATACAATGAATGTTATTTCTTGCCATTGGTAAATGCAGCTCAAAAAACATTTATTGGACAACTGGCCTGTGGAGGTCTGGAAGGGATGTGTGGATTAGCACACTGGGATGAATTACTTTCCCAAGGAGGATGCACTATTGTAAGAGAGTACATTCTTTTCCTAATCAGTCAGGGTCACTCATGATTCAGGCATGATGTCCCAAAGGAGTCCCTTTGAGGCAGATCCTGCACATATTTAGACAGTGTGGGCAGAGAGCTGAATGGGCCTTGTTCCTCACGGTGGTCCAGACTCTCTAGACTCAGGATGTAAGGTCTAAATATGATCACAACAGACCAAAGGCCTCAGAGCACCTATAAATAAGAAGGAATCAGTTTGTACTTTTCTGTGTGGTTAACAAGCCCTTTGGAAGCAGTGGGGAACAAGCAGATAACAAAATGTGGGAAGACCTCTGCTGTGTACCAGTCCGAATTTCTGAAGTCAGTCTCTGATCGATAGTTTCATCAGTGGCCAAATTATATTCGAACACTTGCCTTGACTTTCTCCTGGTGCCATGATGAAGAGCAAATGAAATAATGTCAGTGGAAACATTTGCTTTTGAAAACCTAACATGGATGTATTAATTTATGTATTTATAGCATTTTTTAATATCCTTTCCCCAAACTCACTAACGTAAGATTTTAAAAACAGCCCTGATTTACTATTTCTACTACTAAGAAACAGAGGGGAAGTGGATATGCAAATCACAAGTTTAATATAACCACTGAACAGAAGAGTCCTGTCAGGTTGTGATTTTTCTAGTGATCAGGGGAAAATAAGAAGTACGGTAAGTTCCATGGTGATGATTATCATAAAGTTCCAGTTCAGAATGTGTTTACTTGGTGCCTAATTTCTGAAGCAAATGTTTTCCATGGGCTTCTCAGGGCAACAAAGCTGATAAGGACATTTCTGTTAATGCCAATCAATGGCAAATTTCTAATGCTATTTCTTGGAAATTTTTGTTTTTGCTAAAAACTAAGAATATAACTTGGAATCATAAATCAGTGAAGGGATTTTGAAGAAGATTGAAGAAGATAAAACTAGTCTGGTCCAAGATTTTAACCAAGCTTGGTTGAGAGACAGAACTTAGGATACATACACAGATTTTATTATGAAAAAGTGTTATTTTATTGTTTTACCTCAATCAATGCATGGTGATAAAAGAGTTTTATTTATCTTTTGATGAATGTCACCTTTGAGGAAAAGGAGGAGAATTTTAAGACACATTAAATTCAATCCTTGAAGAAATTGTAACACCTAGACATGATTATGCTGGCACTTTCATTCTTGGAATTTATTCCAAATCTTAGACCTCAAACCCGTTTTTCTAGCCTCCAAAGAAAACAGCTCATGGAGTTCACAAAATTTCATACCAGAACCCTATTCATATGGATAAGAATGCATCAGGTAGAACAAGGATAAACCAAAAGAGTTGTTTCAACTCTATTTTCTTCCATCCAACAGTCAATTATCTTTAAAACAATTTTGTCTTTGTGTATTTGCCTTCTTGTTTTTTTTACATTGTACATTAAGTTTCACCTCGTGTTTTATATAATAGGACTTGGCCTATCCTTCTACCTTAGGAAAGAATTACACTTCAATGCTGAGCTCCTGTAATACAAAAGCTCATTTTCTAAGAATAATTAAGATATTGGGAAGAGAAGATGTTTTTCGTGTCCACAATGGTGGAATTATGCTGTTTCTCTATAGATTATGTTCTATTTCTTTTTTTTTTTTGTTTGAGGAAGATTAGCCCTCAGCTAACTGCTGCCAATCTTCCTCTTTTTGCTGAGGAAGACCAGCCCTGAGCTAACATCCATGCCCATCTTCCTCTACTTTATACTTGCTACCACAGCATGGCATGCCAAGCGCTGCCATGTCTGCACCCGGGATCCGAACCAGCGGACTTCGGGCTGCCGAAGCGGAACGTGCGCACTTATCTGCTGCACCACTAGGCTAGCCCTGATTATGTTCTATTTCTATGGCTTATTATTTATTTCTTATTTTTGCAGGGAAAAATTCTCCCTGAGCTAACATCTGTTGCCAGTCTTCTTCTTTTTTTTTCCTCCCCAAAGCCCCAGTAAATAGTTGTATATGCTAGTTGTAAGTTGTTCTAGTTCTTCTGTGTCAGCCACGGCCACCGCACGGCAATTGTCCCACAGGTGATATGGTTCCTTGGCCAGGAAGTGAACCTGGGCTGCGAAGGCAGTGAGCACTGACCTTTAACCACTAGGCCATCAGGGCTGACCCTCTATGGTTTATTTTTACAAAGTAATTTCCACATGCTCTATCTCACTTGATTCTCCACAGGATCCTTTGAATGCTGGCTCTGCCATCTCTGGGATGACTCTCGGCAAGTCAGTTACATTCCCAAACTTATTCCCTCCTTTGTGACAAGGAGGCCTCCGAAATAAAACTCACGTCAATGTTACTGGAGCATTAAACGAGATAACATGCGTGAAGCATTTAACTTAGTGCTGGGCACGGTAATAATCACTCAATAGCTATTAGCTTTATTCATATTGTTGTCACGTCCACAGACAACACAACTGCAGAAAATCGTGTGCGTGAGTTGAGAATATGGGAATAGGCATGGTTTGAAAAGGTATGAATGCTTTCTATTGTTTCAATGGGATATTTGCCCAAACCCAATTCTTTCAACCATGAGATTCTGTTGCGGATTCTAAGATTTGATGAATTGATTTTGGTAGCCACTCTTCATGTCAGCAGCATGTGCTGAAGACTGCAGAGCAGCCACATTTGCTGTTTATTTTTCCATTCGACAAGTGTTTCTCCAACACCTCCTTTGTAGGAGGCACTGTGCTGGGATCTGTGAACACAGAAGGAAAGAAAGATAGTCCTGGATATTACCTTCCAGTTGTGATAAAGAAGAAAATAAACGTGTTCGTCATGGAGGTCAACATCTTCCTGTGCAGAAACATTATACGTGATTCAGAGCTACTGAATTATATAGAATCAGATGAACTATTCCTGGAACCGTAGAGCTCAGATTTTTAAGTTTGCTCTCTCTGTCGTTGGATTGTATGTGTGTGCGCATTAACACATACTCATATAAACAGATGCGCACACTGTCAAGTAATGGGCATGAATAATTGACTTATACTTGCTCCTGTTTCTTCTAGTTCTCGTCTCAATTGTCACTGCTGTTGATTCTGCCAAGGCTTTTCCGAAAGATAAAAGAAGTAAGTTATTGTCTATGTGTGCCTCTGTGTCATGCCATATGCCTTTTTCCTCTCCCGATCAACTTAACATTAGAACTTCTCAGGGTTAAGGTAGAAAAGACCAATTATTCCTGGAATTGTGGGGTTCAAAGTTTTCATATTTTTAGTGACTGTTTCTCTTGTTTGTCAGCATATTCTATATATACACCTATATTTATACAGACACCATCAAATAATGGGCATGGACAATTGTCTAATATTTGCTTTCATTTCTTCTAGTTGTCACTGCTTCTGATTCTACAAAAGCTTCCCCAACAGAGGAAAGTGGTGAGTTTTGGTGTATGCCTGCCTTCACGTCATGCTGTAGCAATTTCTTCCCTCCTGATCAACTTAACTTTGAACTTCTCAGTCTTAAAGTAGAAAAGACCAGTTATTCCTGGAATTGTGGGGTTCATAATTTCCATATTTTTAATGTTGTCTCTCCTGTGTGTCAGCAGATTATACACATATTATAAATATATACATATTTGATATTGTCTGCATACATATAGGTATATATATTATATACAATATATATACATTTGATCGTGTCTTCATAGAGATATCTATCTATCTATCTATCTATCTATCTATCTATCTCTCTATCTCTCTATCTATGCAGACACGATCAAATACTGGGCATGGACAATTGGCTAATACTGGGTTTCATTTCTTCTAGCTGTCAGTGCTGCTGACTCTACAACAGCTTCCCGAACAGAGGAAAGTGGTGAGTTTTGGTGTATGCCTGCCTTCACGTCATGCTGTAGCAATTTCTTCCCTCCTGATCAACTTAACTTTGAACTTCTCAGTCTTAAAGTAGAAAAGACCAGTTATTCCTGGAATTGTGGGGTTCATAATTTCCATATTTTTAATGTTGTCTCTCCTGTGTGTCAGCAGATTATACACATATTATAAATATATACATATTTGATATTGTCTGCATACATATAGGTATATATATTATATACAATATATATACATTTGATCGTGTCTTCATAGAGATATCTATCTATCTATCTCTCTATCTCTCTATCTCTCTATCTATGCAGACACGATCAAATACTGGGCATGGACAATTGGCTAATACTGGGTTTCATTTCTTCTAGCTGTCAGTGCTGCTGACTCTACAACAGCTTCCCGAACAGAGGAAAGTGGTGAGTTTTGGTGTATGCCTGCCTTCACGTCATGCTGTAGCAATTTCTTCCCTCCTGATCAACTTAACTTTGAACTTCTCAGTCTTAAAGTAGAAAAGACCAGTTATTCCTGGAATTGTGGGGTTCATAATTTCCATATTTTTAATGTTGTCTCTCCTGTGTGTCAGCAGATTATACACATATTATAAATATATACATATTTGATATTGTCTGCATACATATAGGTATATATATTATATACAATATATATACATTTGATCGTGTCTTCATAGAGATATCTATCTATCTATCTATCTATCTCTCTATCTCTCTATCTATGCAGACACGATCAAATACTGGGCATGGACAATTGGCTAATACTGGGTTTCATTTCTTCTAGTTGTCAGTGCTGCTGACTCTACAACAGCTTCCCGAACAGAGGAAAGTGGTGAGTTTTGGTGTATGCCTGCCTTCACATCATGCTGTAGCAATTTCTTCCCTCCTGATCAACTTAACCTTTGAACTTCTCAGTCTTAAATTAGAAAAGACCACTTATTCCTGGAATTGTTGGACTCATAATTTCCATATTTTTAATGCTTGTCTGTTCTGTCTGTCAGCAGATTATATACACATATATATAATGTATATATATATTTGATAGTGTCTGCGTACATATAGGTATATATATTATATATAATATATATATATACATTTGATAGTGTCTCTATGCAGACACGATCAAATAACGGGCATGGACAATTGACTAATACTCAGTCTCATTTCTCCTAGTTGTCACTACTACTGATTCTATAGCAGCTTCTCTGACAGAGGAAAGCGGTGAGTTTGTGTATATGCCTGCCTTCATGACATGCTATAGGCCCGATCAATTACTTTTGAGCATCCTGGTTCATAGGAGACAAGCCCAATTATTCCTGGAATGGTTGGGGTTATATTTTTAATGATATCTTTCCTGTCTCTCTGTTGACAAATTTTATATACATATGTGTGTATATGTTGTACACGCGTATATATCCCTTGTCAAGTAATAGACATGAACAACTGACTAATACTTTCTCTCATTTCTTCTAGAGGCCACAGATATTAATTCTACCAAAGCTTGTCTGAAAGATGAAAGCAGTAAGTTTTTGTAGGTTTCCCTCTATGTCATGCTATAGCAATATTTTCTTCCTGTTCAGATTTTAAGCGTCCCTTACATATGGTAGAAAACTAGAATGGCTGTATGTTGAAAAGGGGAATGAGTGATAGCTTAAATCAATCCATCATTTCCTAGGAGTCACTTTAAGATAGCAAATGTTGGTTTGCGGATGAGACAACTGTAAATTAGAGTGTGCAGTGATAGGCTCTTGGAATTATTTCAACAATGGACTTCACACGATTGTGCATCTTTTGTTTCTGATGACTGAGGAAAATGTCATATCAAGTTGCTTCCAGATTTCTTTTGTGTGTGTGTGAGGAAGACTGGCCCTGAGCTAACATCTGTTGTCAATCTTCCTCTATTTTATGTGGGATACAGCCACAACATGGCTTGAGGAGCAGTGCTAGGTTCGCACCCAGGATCTGAAACTGCGAACCCCAGGCCACAGAGGTGGAGCATGAACTTAATCAGTATGCCACCAGGCCAGGACCTAGTTTTTTTTTTTTAAGTATTTGGTCCTTGCTAGTAGCTAATAACATGAACTGACATGTACTGAGAGCTTCCATTGTTCTGGGTTCTACATGCATTTTCTTGTTTAAATCTCAAAATACTCCTATGAGGTGATATAATAATTTTTTCCCATTTATAAGAGGTCAATGAGCTAAAATTAATTAAAATTCCCTTGCACCATGTCACACAACTGGATCTGGGGTTTCAACCTGGCCATCTGACTCAAGAGTTTATACACTTACTCACTTCTCTCTTCCTCCTCTAAGTTATAGTCCTAGAGCAAGAAACCCCAAAACCAAGGCCCTGAGCCACGATGGATGCATGGTGGGCGGTGGACAAGAGCATAGGCTTCACGATATCCCAGACTGGACTTGAACCCCAGTTCTTTTAATGATTAGCAGCATCAATATAGGAAAGGTACTTACGTTTTGTAAGCCAGACTTTCCTCAACTGTCAACCAGGAATAATTAGACCTAACTAAGTTATTAAAGAGATAAGCTCACCTGTGTGGAATGTCTAGCATGGGGTGTCTCATTTAGCTGGCACAGAATCAGTACTAGTTTCTGGCACTTTCTACCCACATGTGTACAAAGAACGTGACTAAAAGCATTGGCTCTAGCCTTGCTGATATTTCCTCCATTTCCAATATCAAGGGTGCTCTGGACCCCAGCTAACACCTTACCTGGCCAAGGGCAAGGAGTTATGAGCACATTGCCTCTGAGATCCCTTTCCACAACAAGTGCTAATGATTCTGAAATTTTGACTTTATGAAAATAAAACGTATAACAGGGAAATTTCCACAGGAAGAGACTCAGCCTTCTGGTTCATTGAATTGCACGTCTGGCTCACCATCATGGTCTTTAATTATTTCTGGACAATATATATTTCTTGAAAAACTTCAAAAGGTATTAAGAGCAAGTATCCTATAACATCATATCCAGAATGAGGGACATTTAGGAAGGACAGGTGAGTGAGCCAAGAAATCCTAAAGTTTCAGAGACTTTGGATTAACCATTCTCTTCCTTTTTATATAATGCTCTTTTCACTCAAACCTCCCACCTACCCCTCTGTGAGCATGAACAAATTTCCATGGATTGTACTCTTCTTAGGAATCTCATTGAATACACAATGAATATAACTCAGATTTTTCTAAATCAGAATTCACCTTTACATTTACTCTTGACCTTTTGATGTCTGGGGTATTTATTGCACTGGAGACACAGAATTACACAGTACCTGTGAGTGTGTTCTTTAAAGTCATGTTGCTGGGATTAAAATTTTGTTTCTAGTACTTCCTAAATGCATGACATCAGACAAATTACTTCTCTCGGTCCTTAGATTATTTGAAAAATGGGAGCAACAATAACAGTTTCATAGGTTATTTTTAAACTCAAATAAGATTAAAGCTTTGCATGTAAAGCTCTCTAAACAATCGTTTGGCATTTCGTTAGTGGTTGATGAATATTATTTATTATTATCACTTAGAGACATAGTGGGGTGAAGAAATGCTAAAAGGTGTTTATCACAAATACTTTATTCTGTTCAACACATTCATTAAAAATGCAACCTTACTTTTCATATTTTGGAATGGTCTGAGTGAATTTAGCAGAGGCTGTTGGTCACATGACCTGTGAACTGAATTCTGAGTCGTCTTGTTGTTGTCTGTGGTGGTGGAGGGGGTAGATGTTTATTTTTGAGTTTTGATGGGGGGATGTCACTGCAATGTAGGTCATCAGAAATAGAGAACTGTGACCACCCTCCATGAATATGTCCCATCCTTTCAAAAGAACAGGTGGAACTAACCAAATGACTTCTCTTAGCCCCCCTGCAGCTGCAGCTCACCAGCACCTCTGCCTATCACACCTACATCCTTCTCCTCCTCGCGAGTGCCGTCTACTTTGCCATCATCAACTTCCGTCTGTTTAGGAGAACAGCAGCCTGTGGCAATGGAAAGAGTTCGTAACAGATTTTGGCACAAAGAAGTCAACTTTACTCCATTGTTTAGTCTCCAAAAAGTGTCATGTTACTATAGCTGGGCTTTCTCTGGGTGTGGGTTATTTCAGTTCACATGTGTATTTTTCTGTTATGTCAGTATAAAAAATGTTTTTTTAAGCCAGTGAGCAAACAGAAAATTTTACTCTGTAACAACAGTGAGTTCTTCCATTACTCGGGGCAGGGCTCTGAGGTCGTCCCTTAGCACTCTCTCTCCCTGATCTCTGTCAGCTCCTCCAGGACCCAAAGAAGCATGCCTTCTGAGTACAGACAGCATGCAGCTATAGTCATGTCCCTTAGGGCCATTTAACCAGAACTGCCTTGAAGCCTTCCATTTTTCACACCCTGAAGCAATTTCATTTTTACTGGAATTCTGTATGTTGTTTTTCATAATAGGCACAATAAAAAAAATCCAAAGTCTACAATTGTTTCTGTGTACTTTCATTTGATGAAATCTAACTGGAAGTCCAAGGTAAGAAACAGCATGACTCCTGAGCCATCAAATCTGGCACTGGCTGTGATGATGGTCAATACAGAGTTCTAATTCTTTCCCTAAGACAGTGGTCATGATGCTGTCCTTGGGGCACTGGCTCCAAGAGGAGCCACAGTCACATGAAGGCACCCAGGTTACTTCTTTTTCAAAGGTCACCAGATTCACACTCATTTGGTTTGGGACATTCTGATGGTGTCAGTATAAGATCTAGCATGACTTGCACTGTGTGTGCTCAACTCTACACTAGTGTTTCACAAGCACCATGTTTCCTGGCCCTCACATGAACCCTCTGAGACCTGCACTCACACCAAGAGGCATCATGGTGGAAGGGTTGAGCCCCTGGACTCTGAACCATGGGCACCTGGATTAGAATCCTGGGTCTAGTATTAGCATCTGTGCTGCCTCAGGCAAGCTACTTGAACTCTCTGTGCCATAACTTCCTCATCTGTAGAATGGAGTTACAGCGCCCTGTCTCCTGGAGTTGTGTGGATTTAGATGAGTTAACAGTGCAGGTCCTCAACAGCATTAGCATCCATTCTTGGCACTTCTACTTTTGAATAGTAGATACTGCACAACACAGAAACACTGACAGTCTTCTCTAATCTTATTTCCCCACAGAGAGGTTAGATGTGAGTGGAATAGGGACTCTGAGTTTCGGCTATGAACCAGGCAACCTCCTAATTCTCTAGCAGCCCCCTGTAGGCAGGTACAATTATATACACAGTGTAGATATTGGAGAAATTACTTCCTCGCCTCAAGGTCCCTATTTTGTAAATAATAGTCATTTAGAGTCAGATCTCTCTGAACTCACAGCCAGTATTTTCTAACCTACAATCAGATGGCCTTTCCTTCACCCACTGTCAACTGGGAAAAACAAAACAAAGCAAAACCTACACTGCTTCTCTACTAAAGGCATCCTCCAAGGTGTCAGTGAGAATTTTCTTAAGGACTTGTGGGTGAATCTGTGTTTTCTCCTCATGCATATACTCTGTTATTACCATAATTGCTCCCTTTGTTATCAACACTATGGGAATCGTACTTTACCCTGTGAGTGTGTCCTAGATTTGCAACTGCTTTTTTGAGGACTGCTAATGAAATGGACTGAGGGTCTCAGGCAGAGCAGGCCCGTTGGTGGTGCTCTCTGGGTGCACCATTATGACACCCCAGCTCCTCCCCTAGACGGAATGGGCCTGGAGGTCCTCAGAGTCGCCTGTGGAAGCCTCTGTTAGGTCCAGGTGCATTACTGAGGAAGGAGGTAGGTTATACATCCTTTTTGGTCATGTGCCTTCCCACCACAGCATGACTGCCATGTGGTGTGGTGAGAGAAACACTGGCCCAGAAGTCTCATTTCACACCCCATGCTTAGAGCATTGCCTCCTTGGTCTGGCTTTAAGTAGCTATTTCATTTGTTTTTAACCATGTCACATTGTCTAAATTTACCCAGTGTTAGGAGAAAGCGTTCAAGTTGTATCAGGTTTCTAGCGTGATTTAAAAAGTCAATAACTAACATCTGAATGAAGTAATAATAGCAAATGCTGGGATAGTGTTTATGGTAGATTTCTAAGTACATGTTATTTATTTAACTCTCAAAAGAACCCTATGAGATATGTACGATTATCTCTTTTTTATAGATGGGGAAATGGAGGCAAAGAGAGGAAAAGAACGTCCCCTTAGTTAGATATCTAATAAGAAACAGAGCTGAGATTTGACCCCAAGCAGCCTGGCTGCACAAATTCTGCTCTTAAATTCTACGTTATTTGCTACTAGAGTAGAAACAGGCTACTTTAGTTTCAGTTAAAACAGGAAACTTTCTCTCTTTATTAGACTAAGAGCTGGTGGAGAGAACTGCCTCTTTGTCCACACTTCCTCTCCTTGCTTCTATGCTGTGCCCACAATTCGAGGGTCGTAGGCCAACCTGCCACAGAATTTGTCATGCTGGAAAGACTTTTATAGAATGAGCTCCACCCACCAACAGGACTTCTGTGATTAAACTCCACAGCACCTGGTTGGATAAAATGAATACCAGAAGAGCACGTTGCATCCGCAGGTGTGCAATGGAAAAACTAGGCAAAGATTTACACAATTCCATGTAAAAACACTCGAGTCTCAATGTCTTTATAGAGCTAGAGTCTCCATACACTTCTCAGCTGTAACAGAGGGAAACCTCAAGGCAAGAATTCTCAGAATTTCCCCGTTTGCATCGTCCCTAGTGTTTGGATTCTTTCCCGCAGAGACTTCATTTTTGAAGGCTTTCCATCAATCAAGCAGGTCACAATTAGCTAACATTGATCATCCCTTCTATATTAATACAAGTCCCATATAACTGCCAATTAGAAAATCTGAGTAATGAGATAACCAGAGATGCTACAGCGACATGAGACAATTCATCCAAAAGGCTAGATATTCAACAAGTTCATCAGCCATGAAATCTTATCTAGGTAAGTGCAAGATCTCTGTCATGTTCTGTTCTATTTTTTGCTTGTTTGCTGTCTTTTGCTTTGTTTGAATAATGGCAAGCATCTACCACTTAGTGAGTATCAGGAATTCTGCTAGGCAGTTTGGGTGCCTTGTGTCTAATGCTCTCCGTGTGCTAGAGTATGGATATCACACTCATCTCACTGAAGAGAAGACTAGGTCCCAGAAAGGCTAAGAAATATGCCTGAGATTAAACATGGAGTAGTGTCCGAGTCCACATGAGTCCAGGTCTGCCTGACTTAAGAACTCCTTCTCTATCCAATATCCTAGTGAATCTCCTCCCGGGAGGCTTTACAAACCACTGAGGCCCAGCCTTCCTCACAGGCCAGGCATTGGAGTTTCAAACCCCCCTTCAGTAATTCTGATGTGCACTGAGGTAGAGGTCATTATGTGACTGAAAGAGCTCCTGAGCTCCAAGGCTGCTGTCCCAAATCACACGTGGTGAGGCGCCATCACAGAGCCCATCAGACAATTGAGAACTTGTTGCCGCCAGGAAAGTGCTCTCACCATTCCTCCCATCGATTTCCTAAGGAAACAAAAAGTGTGTACTAAGATTTATGTGCAAGGATGTTCATTTACTGTGGCACCATTTATAGGAGCCCCAAGTTCACCAAAATTCCCAATAAGAAACTAAAAAGTAAGCTAAAGGATGTCATATGATTGTCTACTATGCATCTTCAAAAAATGTAGATTGTTTAAAGAAGTGGAAAATTAATCAGAAAGCATTCTTGAGAAAATAATATGCATAACATGACCATATAAAAATTGTCAGATAATACCTTCACGTGGTTCAAATATCAAACACTCTAAAATATGCACTAAGACATTTTGCTTCAACCACTATCTCTCCCGCTCCCACTTCTACAGGTCATAGTCTTGTTTCTGGTGCATCCTTCCACTTTTTATATCTGAAAATATGAATGTACTTATATAAACATCTGTGCCTGTATATATATTCTCATTTCCTCCCTTCTTACACAGAGGTAGTAAACCATATACATTATTCTGCACTTCTCTTTTCCTTTAAACATGCTATAACTCTTTTCATGTCAGTGCAGATGGCTATATAATATTTCACTGGTGAATGCCAACACTTTATACAGTTGACGATGATAGACTGTTGGCTCAATTTCAATCTTTTGCTACGATGAGAAACGCTGAAATTATAATAGTGCTTTCTGTCATCTTGTATGCAAGTGTTGGTCAATTTGATAGGTATTTCCAACTGGTCCATGATAGAGAGAGCACCATTTTGTACTTCTACCACAGTCTTAGTGAATGTCAAGAGTGTGCCTCAGGGGCCAGCCTGGTGGCGCAGCAGTTAAGTGCGCATGTTCCGCTTCTAGGCGGCCCGGGGTTCGCCGGTTCTGATCCCGGGTGCAGACATGGCACCACTTGGCACGCTATGCTGTAGTAGGCGTCCCACATATAAAGTAGAGGAAGATGGGCACGGATGTTAGCTCAGGGCCAGGCTTCCTCCTCAAAAAAGAGGAGGACTGGCAGTAGTTAGCTCAGGGCTAATCTTCCTCAAAAAAAAAAAAAAAAAAAAACCACAAAAGAGTGTGCCTCAGGACTTTCTAATCTGACAGGTGAAAACAAATCTCATCACAGCCTTAATTTGTTTTTCTCTTACTATGAGTGATGAGAAGAATCTTTTCTTTTTTCTTTAAAGATTGGCACCTTAGCTAACGTCTGTTGCCAGTCTTCTCTCTTTTTTCATTTCTTCTTCTTCTCCCAAAAGCCCTCAGAAGAATTTTTTCTTATATTGAAAGTCTATATTTCTTTTTCTGTGAAATATTTGTTTTCATCCTTTGACCATTTTTTCTATTGAGTAATAATACCAACAGATATGACACTCATTTGTGTGTGTCTCTGTATTTCTACAATCATAGGAATAAAACATCATGGTCAATGTACGATAGGAGGGTGAAAAAATGATAAGAGATCATATATTTTTCTATTTTCCCTAACTAATATTTTTTAAGGAAAATCATTTCAAAATTAAAATTAAAAACTATCTTGTTTAAAATTGGCAAAATTTTTGTTCGTTCTCTTATAATCAGCCTCAGTTTCTGTGAAGCGTGTTTCTTTTGGAAACCAGGTAGACGTTCCCATTTGGAAACAAAATAAGACCCACACGATACAGGAAAGATTAAATTTGATTTAGACTTTTCTTCTTTATTCTTGTGAATTTGATCCGATTCTCTAGGCCCAATCCCTGGCCCTCTCCTTAGAGACCTGGAACTATATCTATGTTGGGAAAGGATAGAAACAAAGAGGGGAAACATGCAAATCACTGAGAGCTTTGTGCAGGTGATGTCGCTGCCAGACTCTACGAGGCAGTGTCTCCCGTGGTTTCCAACTTCTGAGCAACTTCCCTCCAAACTGGGCCTGGGCTGCCCTGAACGAGGTGGCACAGAGAGGGAGAGCACAGGTGGTGGAGGGGACAGCCTG